TAAATGTCAAGTAAAAAGATCCTTTTAGAAAACAAAACACCAAAGTATCTTCCAAGTTGCAATTAAAGAGTGAGAAGTCAAAGGAATATGAATGCACGGATACACTGAAAGCAGTTTAAATGGCCACAAGAAAGCATTGATTAAAACAACTGGTATAATGTGTTCTCACTTCTGAAATAATTCATTCACAACACAAGAAGTGGTAAAAACTGTCTGAGCACCATCACCTCGCCTTTTACATGTGAGCTCATACTATGCAGGTGCCCAAACAGCTGAGTAGGAAATCTATCTCAGTGTGGATTACCACACACAAATCTACCAAAAATAGGAGGTCATCAACTTTAAGAATACATCCTATTTAAACTAAATGCCACAAAACAAGGTATTCAATCAACAGATTTTATTTCTAACTTTCAATGGAAGCCCTACACACTATCCAGGTGTGGGGGCACACATTTTTAATACCAGCACTGGGGAAGCAGAGTCAGGTGAATTGGAGTGTGGGGATCTGCCTTATCTACATATTGAGTTCCAGACCTCAAAACAAGACTTAAATAGCTTTTATAATGATGTAGCCTATTCAAACAAAGAATATACAATTCTTTTAGTTACCACTATCTCAAGTGTAGTGCCTGTGTTTTATTTAATTTGCATGCATGCCAACGTGCACAGCCTTAGCATGCAGCAGAGGTCAGAGGACAGCTTGTGGGAGCTGCTTCTCTTACCATGCTCACGAGGGCCAGGGACTGAACTCGGATGGTCAGGTTTGATAGCAGGCACTCCAGACTCACTGAGGCATCTCACCCACCCAAGTAGCTTAGCTTTAATTTTCCTAGCATCTCATAGTTCAGGGAAGCCAAGCAACTCAGCCATACTCATAGAAGTAGTGGTAAAACCAGAATCAAACCCCATTGTTTATAAGGCACTACATATGCTATGACTGATTCCGATTAACTGGAAGGCAGTAAAACTGACCTACAGTACTGTGAATGACGTCTGCAATGATGTCATCCTGCAGGGGTGAGCAAAGGAGCACAGGTGCCTTAAGGAGCAGCTGAAGTTCCTAGTTCCTGTTTCTTAACATAACCAGGAGCTCACACCATCTATACATTCAGCACATGCTACACCACCCTCGCCAGGTGGATCTCTGTGAGTTCAAGGCCAGCCTGGTCTACAGAGTTCCACAACAGGCCCCAAAGCTACACAGAGAAACCCTGTCTCAAAAACAAAAACAAAAACAAAAACAAAAACAAAAAAAAAAAAAAAAAAAAAAAAAAAAAAAAAAAAAAGAAAGAAAGAAAAAGGAAAGGAAAAAACCTCAGCCAACTGACTCCAAGTTCATGTTCCTAACTACCAAACCACCTTTTCACAGCCCAGAGCATTGCTACTGATTACCTTGGTTAGTAAGGTTTTGGTTTAAAAAAAAAAAAAAAAGTGAAGAAATCTAAATAAACCTATTTTAAAATGTCACAGAATGGAAAGTGGAAAGTATTGATTTCCTGACTACTGGGAATTTCCCCTTAGAAGAAAAACCAAAGAACAAAAAAAAAAAAAAAAAAAAAAAAAAAAAAACTGCTGAAGAGATAGAGACACAGAAAATAATTTGTAATAACATGTTAAAATATGCATTACATTTAATCAGATACAAAAAAATGGATTTTGTTACAATAATGAAGCCATGCTAAATAAACAAAGCTGACAGCAGAAGAAAAAAAAACTCAGTAGGAATAACTCTATCCAGTAGTAACTGCACCAGGATGCCCCAGGAACAAGTCCTTAATCAAGTCATAGGTGCCTCTCAGGCTTTGTTCAGACTGGCAAAGCCTTTCTACCAGTGGGTGATGATGAAATCATTACATCAATTCTCAAAAAGCCTCACCCCACACATGCACACAGCTCTTACCCGAACAGTAATTGCCTCTCCAGAGAGGCATATATTCATCCTCCCATTTTAATGTATTCATCAAGTACCCACTCCAGAATGGGAGAAGAGACGCTAGGAGCTCTACATTCAGGGTAGGGTAGGGTAGCTGGGCTGGGGTTATGTGCTATCTATCTCCTTCACTGAGTGATTTCTGTTAAGCAGTTAGGAAATATTTACTGGTTCAATTTTTGCTTTAATCTGTACACACCAAAGAATGCCACACAACTGATCAGAAGATTATAGAAGACAGAAGACCACTATAATAATTTCTGAGTTTTGGTAGTTTATATTTCACTATTTGGGTGTTTTAATGGGTGTGTTACCAAATACTAGGCTGGTTGCAAAATCTCATATTTATGAACTATACTTAGTAATTTTTGAAGTATGAACAGATGTCCAATAAAGCAGTTTTAAAATGCCCAGAGAGTCAAATATTATACTCAGTAAACAAGTCAGGAGGAATTGGCAACATCCACCCAATGTGTCAAGACAGATCTGATAGAGACCCTAAATTACGGAATATTATTTGTTCCTGAGATAGAGTCTCTCCCTATGTAGGCCTGGCTCTTCTAGAACTCCAAAGATCTTGCCTCTTCCTCCCAAGCACAGGGTTTAAAGGTGTGGGTCCCATACCCTACCCTAAATAACGGTTTAAAAACAGAACAGTGGCTGTTTCAAAGTGTATTTGAGAAACAAAGACATCCTTTCTCTCCATTATTTGAAAAACAAAAAAGCCCCACAAATTTCTAATATAGAGTATCCCAACTTTAAAACCAACCAGCATATTTTAAGATGAATATTTGGATCTTGTTTCCTAATAAAACCCTTAAACCTAACACACACATTTGAACAAACAGAACAGTAAAAATTCAACAGTAAGTTATCCATTCCCCTTTCCTATTTTTAGCATAACTGTAAGTATGTTAGAATTAAGGAACTCCAAATCTCTTTTTAATTTTTTTGGGTTTTGGAGACAAGGTTTCTCTGTGTATCTCAGGCTGACCTAGAATGTGGTGATTCGATAGTGGGGATCAAAGGCATGTACCACCATGCCCCGCTTTGATGACTTTTTAAAACAAGCATATCTTCAAAACCATAAGCCATCTCTACGCCCAGGCCTTCAAAAGCCTGGGGACTGGGTGAAAGCAATTCATACGCAAATTATGTTTGTTTTTCTCAAAGACTACCTCATTCCTTAGGTCTTAAAAACCTGTTATCTTCATCTGTCAAGCTTGGGTGATTTCAGGCTAGAAAAATCTCAATGGTTCTAACAACACATCACTGTTTTTGGCAATGGGAAGCTGAACCAGTGGGGCCTTCGTCGTGATCTCTGTAATCATCCTATTTGTCTTCAAATACAATCTTATAAAGCAAGTTACCCGTTCCCGAAACTAAGTTGGGGAAACAAGACTCATTCGGAAAAACTAACTTGTCATTTAACAAACAGCCTGTGGCAGAAAACAAGGCTAGTGAAGGGACTCAGGTTTAAAGGAGTATTCGACATTTCATTTGCCATTTGCACAAAAACACTAAATAAAGAGCGGCAGGCAGAGTTCTGAGGGGGAAAGAAGTTCCGTGCAGATCTACTGATAAAAAAGACCACCGCGCTGGAAAGGGTGAACATTACTCAGGCTCTACAGGTCTCAGGCACACTTCTTTGGTCTTAAAACCTAACCAAATATAAAGAGCTCTCGGACTGTGCGTAAAAACCTCACTAGGTTTCAATTTAAAAAACAAACAGAAGTCGGGCTAGAACAGGTGGGAGGTGACCACACTGCTTCGGGCGGTTCCCTCTCGTTTCGAGGTCTGAACCCCACTGGAGCACCCTCTGGGCTGGGCCCTGGCCCCACCCTCCCACTCCAGGCCCAGTCTTTCACCAGCCCAACGCCTTCCAAGGCTCGCGCTCACTAGCTTGCTCTCTCTCTCTCTCTCTCTCTCTCTCTCTCTCTCTCTCTCACACACACACACACACACACACCCCTGAAAGAATCACACACACACACACACACACCCCTGAAAGAATCTGTTATACCAGAAAGCCCATTTTCACCCACTGGCTTCTAAACCAGTAAACCAGAAAAGCACGACTTGCGAGGGGGAAGGGGGTGTGGTGTGGCAGAACAGGTTTTATCGTTCCAAGTAGAAGCGACCACCGCAGGCAGGGAAGCAAAGGCCAGCCACCGCAGGTGCGGCAGGAGCGAGTCTCCAGCCAGCCCAGGTTACAGAAAGGTGTACTTTTCAAGATGACCTCGCATGCCGTGACACTTAAGACTTGTCCCCACTGAGCTTCCTTTCCACTCAAGACCCCAGGGCTTGGAGGATCCCAAGAGAGTGCCATTAACCCGATGCTGGCGTCAGGACCTCAAAGGGGTCCCCGCCTGCAGGCGCTCCCACCTGCCAGTCACAGGCTCTGTCCCGAGTCTGGTTAATCATTCAATGCCGGCGGCGTGGAACATTTTTTTAGAGGTCAAAGCGAAAGGTTCTCCCGAAGTTTCTCAGAAACCAGTCTTTGGGGACCCGGAGGTAAGAGTGTCAGAGCTGGGGGGTGGAAAGCGGCTGCCGGCGGCTCACAAACACCTGATCTGCCCCTGCGGCACCCGAGCCCGGCGCAGTGCGCGGGCGGGGCGGCAGGCACACCGCACGCGACGCTCCCCCACCGCCCAGGCCCGCACCTCCCGCGCGGAGTGCAGCGCGGCCCGGGGTGTCACTGCCCTCTCCCTGCGGGTGCAGGAAGAGCAGGGGCCGAGCAGGTGAGAAGGTCGGGAGGGAGGTGGAGACCCGGAGACCGGGGAGGCGGTGAGGAGGCTGCTCGGGAGGGGGACGGACCCGTGGGGGAGAGGGCCGGGGAGAAGACCCCGGAGTGAGGACGCCGGGGAACTGATGCGCGGAGCCCAGGGGAGTGAGGAACCTGGGGGAGGCGAGGAGGACCCAAAGGCGCGGAGGCGCACACACCGCAGCGGCCCCAGAGGAGCGGCGAGAGCGCACGGCGCCCGCAGCGGCCGGAACAGGCGCGGCGGCGGGGCGGCGGGGCGGCGGGGCGGCGACGCAGGGCCCGTGCCCACTCGCCCGGCCCTACCTTGTCCAGGGGCAGCTCCAGCTCTGCGGGGCGGGGCGGGAGACCGCGGCCGCATCCACGTCCCAGCCGCGCGTGCGGCTCAGCCCCGCGACCGCCGCCGCTCTAGCTCCATGCGCGACGCGCGGACGGGCGGCCGGCCGGCGGGGTCTGGGCGGCTCCGGCTCGCCTCAGCTCCAGCACTTGTTGCCGCCGCCGCCGCTGCGCCTCACTCCCGGCCGGGCTCCCGGCACCGCCGCCGCCTTCTGCGTCCCTCCGGCCACGCCCCTCGCCCGACGCGCCAATCAGACGCCGCGCCGGCCGCGCGCGTCACCGCAGGGACGACAGCGTTCCCGCCCCGTGGCCCAAGTTTGGGAAAGGCCGAAGTGGCACCCTCCCGCCGTCGGCGCCCGGGCCCCTCCGGGCTCTCCGCCCCTCGCTGCGCTTAGGAAACCCTAGGCTACACCGGGAAGCTCGAGCTCCAAAGGCAGCAGTTCCCCCCTCCACCCCAGGAAGTACCCCCTCTCCCTCTAAAAACAGCAGCCACGGAGTGGCAAACTCTGCCGAAACTCAGGGTCTAGTCCTAACTTCTCAGCTACCGGGGCCCCTCCGTGCCGTTGGCGCGGCGCTCGCTGAGAGTTTTGATGGCCTTTCCCGGCCACGGCCGGCGTGTGGCTAGGCCTAGACAGCTCCGGGTGGTTGGTGAGAGGGTTGAGGTGAGCGGAGGGAAACCTGGATCTAAGTGAACCTGACCTTTGCTCTCTGCGCACCCCGTACTCGCAGCCCCCTAGCTGCCCATAGCCTATTCAGATCTTCGGGTTGTGAAGCCGTCAAAAACATGGATTTTCCACATGGTTCCACTGGCGTCTCAGGAAGCCAGGAACGCAAGATGCGAGGGGCGCCCGCACCGCGACGCCAGGAGCTGGGTGCAGCGTGCCACTCAACGCTCGACACTCCGTAACGCTGCTGGCGTGGGCACTAACCACACCCACGCGCAGAGCGCTCGGGACCCGCCATGCTCGCCCCTAACTCAAGCGCCTCAGCAGGATCCCCAAAGCGCTGCACGCCAAGGTGAACCCCCGGGGAAAGCCGGCGAGACCGGATGGAGAAGTTGCTCTAGTTTGCAAGGCTTGGGTGGGCCGGCCGGGCCGGCACGCCCTGAGCACCGAGCACCGAGCAGCGCCCTCCTGGAAGCTCCCCCTCCATCCTTAGCTCCGAGGCCTTAGAAGGACCCAGGAGTTAATCCGGTTGAGGAATTAACATTCCACACCTGTTTGATTTTTTTTTTTTTTTTTTTTTTTTTTTTTTTTTGGCAGAAGGCTGTCAGAAGGAATTGGCCAAAGAGAAGCCATTGAATTTTCAGCGCCTGGGGTTGAATTTCAGCCCGCTAGACCACGGAGCGCTTACTTACTCTCAGCGAAACTCAGCAGCCAAAAGAAATGCTTGTTGTTTTGAATGTGTCGAGCCATGTGGATGGGGGTCATCCAGAAGAAGGAATTCTGAGTCGGTGGCTCCGGAAATGTTAAGATTGGCAGTGTCCAGACCGAACTGTTTTCATGTTGGTCACGGTTCTCTTAAGGGCGATATGAAGTCCAGGAAACAAGCTGGATTTTTGTGTATCACACAAACTGTTAACCATTAACACTCTGAGCAAGAAAGGGAAATTGTATACCTTCCTTAGGGGTGACCCCCCCTCCGCGCCCCACCTTTTTATTCATAATTAGGAAAACTATCAAAACATTATAAAAGAAGCAAATTAGAAGTTAGGTCTGTGTATTTGATTGGCTGCAGGCCGCTGTTTTGATACATAAATACTGTGAGGAGACAAGGCTGGATTCCCTGCTGTCAGATGTTAGTTACTGTTTTCCCTTAAATGCCCTCTCAGTGGCCACAGCCATGCTTTCAAGGATTGCTAGGAGTTTTGAGTAAAGTCAGCTGGCAAGCAACAGGGAAATAAAAGCTTCAGTTTTCCATAGCTGCCAAAATCTGCCCAGGCCCTGAAGTTAAAAAAAAAAAGAAGAAGAAAATGGGAAGCGTTCTCTCGGTGGTGCCCCTGAGTGCAGCTGGAGTGTGGAGGCCAGCTTCCACGGTGACTCTGGGGAGCAAAGCCATGCTGGGTTCTACACCCACTCAGCTGTTGTGCTTACTCTTAGGCTATGACTGGGATTCATCATCCATAAACAGACATACACATTCAACAAACGTGCTGTCCAGAACAGGTGCAGAGCACAGTGCTGAGCATCAAACATGACACTTCCTCTTGAAGCTCACAGTTCCCCACACTCACAGGTGCTAAATTATTAAATGTACCAAAATTAATCACAGTTTTGATGTGGGCCTAAAGAAGTGTAAGAACAGAATCATTGAGGAATTCAAGTTAAGTGTCTTTAAGCTTGTTTTTCTATTGCTGTGATAAAACACCATGACCAAAAGCAGCTTGAGAAGGGTTGGTTTGGCTTATAATTCATCATCAAGGGAAACTGAGGCAGGAACTAACACAGAAACAATGGAGAAACCCTGCTTACTGGCTTGCTCAGCCTGTTTTCGTATACCACCTAGGTAGGAGTGCCTGCCTGAGCAGGTATTAATTTTTTTAAAAAATGCACTACAGACAATCTGGTGAAGGCATTTCTCAATTGAGATTCCTCTTCACAGATAACTCTTAGCTTGTGTCAAGTTAACAAAAAGAAAAGCAACCAGACAGGGTGGTGGTGGCACATGCCTTTAGTCTCAGCACTCAGAAGGCAGAGGCAGGCAGATCTCTGTGAGCTGGAGGCCAGCCTGGTCCACAGGCTACAAAGAAAAACACTGTCTCAAAAAAAAAAAAAAAAAAAAAAAGAAAAGAAAAGAAAAGAAAAGAAAGAAACAAGGAAAAGCAACCAAAATGTGAAGTCTCTAGCTGCTTCTAGGTCTAAGGGGGAAGTTGTAGAAATAAACAGAGTTTGGATTTTATTCAATGAGACATTTGGGGTAGAAATTATATTCTAAATTGCACTGTAGGTAAGTCATTCCGTGCCATATGAAGGGGGCAGGGCCCAGCCAGGAGGATGCTAATGCAGACAGCAGTAGAGAACAGACACCACCACAAAGACTTGGGCAGCTGCTTCAGTCAGGAGGAATGGGGGCATGATGGGGGGCTAAGTGAAGGATGGCCATTTTTTGAGTTGGGGAACCCTGCCAAGTTTCTAGCTTGGTCAGAGGAGGTGTAAGAAGCCTGTGAGATGTCCTGTTGAGCACTTTGTATCCTGGAGTACTGGTGTTGCTGTAGTCTAAGAGAAGGTAGAGTTAGATCAAGAGGGGGCCTGAGACTTGGCCCTGACAACTCCTACCTAGGGCAGGCACAGAGTGAGCTAGCTCACTGTGGGAAAGGAAGAGTGATGGAGAGGCAGGGAGGACAGGAGCTTGGGGATGGTGAAGCAAGCAGACTCTGCAGCAGAGACCAGAGTTAAGAGCTCTTAAAATGACAAAAACCCAATCGAGGTGAAGATTGGTGTGTACTTGGTTTAGTGGCTTTGATGTAGTTGGGAATTCTGCATGTCATGACTGGTAGAGCAAAGAATGGTCTAAGTGTAAATGAGAGATGAAGAAAAGCACTCATGGGAGGGAGAGAAATGATGTTAATTATACTTTAGTTTCTAAAAATTGAAAAAAAACTACAAATAGAGCCCCAAAAATAAGTAATAAAAGTAATTTTTTTTTTTTTTTTTTTTTTGAGAGACAGAAAGGCCCAGAGTGTAGGAAACTCTAGAAAAGTTTGACTGTGAAAAGTCAGAAGTAGCCAGAGGCCTGGAGAGGCTGCTCAGCTCAGCTGTTAAAAGGGTATTTGTTGTTCTTGTGGAGGAACCAGAGGTCAATTCCCAGCACAATTATCCCCAACTCCAGTTCCAAGGCATCCATCCAACAGCCTCTTCTGACCTCCGTAGATACCAGGGACACATATGGTACACAGACATACATTCAAGCAAAACACACATATACTAAATAAATCTTTTTTTAAAAATACCAGAGAAGAATGTTATGTCAGACATGGGTTGTGATTTATATGTTTGTCCTTGTTCATAAGGTAAAATAAGAGTTTGTAAATGCAGAGGGAAAGAGCCCATGGAGAAGAGGAAGGAACAGCAAAGATCCTGTATCCAAGGCAGAAGATGCAACCAGGGGTTAGGAGGAAAGGTTGAGCTCATGGAGGGGCTTTATCTATTCCAGTGGGAAGAGGTGTAGAACATTTGCACCTGGTGACAGGGAGGCTAGAGACAAGGCAGGGACTGATGTGAGATTTGAAGAGTAGGGGAAAGTTTGGCCCAGTTATCAGAAGGTTTGGGAGGGTTGGAATGATCAAGCAGAAAGATAAGCAGGTCAGCACAACAATACATCTGAGGTTGGTAGCTGTGGCCTTCCTTTGTGGTTTTTCCAACAGTTCAGCTGCCCAGTGTGGTGCAGGCTCAGGTGAGGGAATTGTTAGAGCAGAAGAGCAAAGGAGTCAAGAGCCTGGTCCAAAGTGATGCATGCACCATCAGAGACAAAGGACCCTAGCTAGCTCCAGTCACTTAAGGAGGAAAGAAGGTTGGGTTTGAGATCTGGCTGTTCAGAGGTGAACTGTAGGGTCATGGGCAAGGCAGGAAGTGGTGGAGGAGAGTAGGGGTGAACACCCTGAAAGTATTAATACCAAGGCCAAAGAATTAAGTGGCAAGGTTAATGGATGGGACATTGGTATGAGTGAAGCAATCCAGGATGTGGGCAGGAAATAAGAATGCATTATGGAGACACTGGGTCAGGAGCTAAAGCTCTAAGGGATCAGAAGATGGGAAGCACCAAAAAGGGGAAGGGATATGGTAGAATGTCAGTCTTCTCAAAGACCTACATGCAGGACACAGGAGGGAGGGTGTGCTCAGGTAGAAGGAGGGTTCATATGCACCCCACCCCCTCCACTCTGTACCCTTGGAGAACACTGATGAGAGTCAGAAGCCTCACCTCTCAGCACTGCAGGGAGAGCAAAGTAGGTGTTGAATTCTGAGTAGCAGCTGCTGTTGGGGATGAGTGCTCAGACTCAGACAGACAGGCCTTTGGACTAGGTACATGGATAGACCCTTGCTTGCAGGATGAGCCAGCCTTTGATTCACTCTGCTTGCTGAAGTCTGAAGTTTCCCAGGACCTATGGAAGGGTTATGTCCTCATCACTTCCTTTTCCTTCCCAAGATTTCCATCAGGGCGAGGTGTCCATAAGCCTCCAGTATCCACCAAATAAGTTCCTTTG